AAAAGAAGAGACATCACTTTGCTGACAAAAGTCTGCATAGTCAAAGCTATGGTTTTCCCAGTAGTAATGTATGGCTGTGAGAACTGACCATAAGGAAGGATGAGGACTGAAGAATTGATGCTTTTGGAATTGTGGTGTTGGAGAATACCCTGAACTGCAAGGAGATCAAATCCGTCAATCCTAAAGAATATGAACCCTGACTGTTCTTTGGAAGGACAGGTACTGAAGCTGAAGCTCAAATAGCTCGGCCATCAAATGAGAGAGGACCCATAGAGAAAGACCCTGATGTTGGGAAAGATTGAAGACAAAAGGAGACAGGGATGACAGAGAATGACATGGTTAGATAATGTCATCAATGCAGTGGGCGTAGGTTTGGATGGACTCCAGAAGACTGTAGAGGGTGGGGGACCCTCACTTGCTGTGGTCCATGGGGTTGTAAGGGCAGACACAACTTAGCAACTGAACAACAAACAATGAGAGAACACGGAAGAATAGAGAACTCGGTACATCAGTGTGAGTCCCTAAAGAAAAAAGAGAATACAATTTAATAAATCCCCCCCCCCACTTACTTGATTTGGAGATTCAACCACTGTTTCAGCTCCACCATAAAGATACCAGAAAGCTTCATTTTATGTTTCCCTGAGAGGAGACAGAAGTTTAAAATATATAATTAACAAATAAGGAGAAGACACAAAGAAGGGAAAGCAGCTGGGATCTCTCCGGGGGAATGGGGGGGGAATGATTTGTGTGAGAGAAAATAACTGGATCATGCAGATGGCAGAAGTGTAAGACACATTGGAAGGACCAAGAGATGGTGGTGCAGGAAAGAAGAGGAAGAGGAAGATTTCTGTGGGAAGAATCCAGAGAAAGAAATATTTTGGAAAATATTAAAAAAGCAGAATATATTTCTCCAAAGGAATAATGGAGAAGATCTTTAAAAAGACAGAAACCTCCCCCCCCAGCCAAACAACTCAGCAGAAACCAGCTTTCAGAAATGCAAAATGTAATAATCCTTTCAGAAAGGTTGGGGCCTTCCAGCTAGAAACTGAAGAGATTATGAAGACAAAGACCCTTACAATCTACATACCTCACCCAAACTCAGGACATAATAGGATTAACCCACCAATACCAAAAGGGCACAGTCAGATTCAGGTCAAAGTACATGATACAGGAAATACAAAGCCTCAAACAGGAACAGGAAACAACCTCAAGAACCCCAGAAGGTATAAAAGCCTACCACTCTGCTCCATGTGGTTCATTTAAGGATAACCAAAACTGATTATTGAATGAAAGAGGGTTTAAGGGGAGAAAAGGGTTCTGAACTGTTCAGATCAGCCTTCTCCATCCTGATGCCTCCCGCCCCCAGCTTAGAAGTCTTCCAAGTCCTAGAACATCCAGCAATCATGAATCTTACTACTTGTAAGATTCATGATTGCTGCCTCCAGAAGCAGTAAATGCTCCAACACTGGAAGTTTTTAAGAAGAGACTGGACAGCCATTTGTCCGAAATGGTGTAGGGTTTCCTGCCTGAGCAGGGGGTTGGACTAGATGACCTCCAAGGTCCCTTCCAACTTTACTACTATTACTATTACTACTTATGATGCCCCAGGATTGCAACCATGTCCGGATTACAACCACAGAGCTTCTTAATAGTATATAATGGTGCTTTTTAACTTTGGAGGCCAGTCATCCACCTTAGGGAACTGTTCCATTTTTCTATTGTTCATTATCTTCTAAGTCTGTGGTTAGAATGCAATAATGCAGTGCTACTGTTGTTACCATTATGGTATTGTACCAGAACTCATAAAAACTGAGCATGTGCAGTTCCAAACATTTCCACTGACATGCATATCTGACTGATCCCAGTGGATCATATTGCCTAGCACTGGGTGTTACAACAATCTTGCTGGAATTATTTCAACCCTATCCTTACTGCATTATATCCAATTTGGGCATCACACTGACTCCAACAAAAACATTTTTCTCATACCAAAGGTAGGGGGGAAAAGTTCCTTAGAAGCATGCTAGATGTGAGAAAGTGCTTTATTAAATCTCTTGTAAAAACATAGCCATCTAGGAAAACATGCAACCACTGTATTATACATGCTATCTTAAAAAAAGGATAGTAGAGAATTCTAACCGATTTTATATACAGTGGGGCAAAAAAGTATTTAGTCAGCCACCAATTGTGCAAGTTCTCCCACTTAAAAAGATGAGACAGGCCTGTAATTGTCATCATAGGTAGACCTCAACTATGAAAGACAAAATGAGAAAACAAATCCAGACAATCACATTGTCTGATTTGGAAAGAATTTATTTACAAATTATGGTGGAAAATAAGTATGTGGTCAATATCAAAAGTTCATCTTTTATTATTATTACTGTATTATACATGCTGTCTTAAAAAAGGATAGTACAGAATTCTAACCGATTTTATATATAGGTAATGGTTTTCCATGTCCAGTGGTGTCTGACCCTAGAGCAGTGGTTCTCAACCTGTGGGTCGGGACCCCATTTGGGGTCGAACGACTGTTTCACGGGGGTCGCCAAACAACGCAGTCCGCCATTTTTTCCCCTTTTCCTTAGCTGTGCTACTCCCTTTTATTCTATTGGCTTTTGAAAGCCAATAGAATAGACTCTCTTGAATAGAGTCTAATTCTATTGGCTTTCAAAAGCCAATAGGAATTGTCCAGGCTGTCTCTGCCCTGCTGAGCCCGCCAAAAGTCCCATTCTGCAAACGGTGCTGCACCAGTTGAGTAGTCCTCGACTTACAACCAGTTGAGTAGTCCTCGACTTAGTCCTCGACCGGTTGGGGGTCGTGGCATTAAAAAGGTTGAGAACCACTGTCATAGGTAGACCTCAACTATGAAAGACAAAATGAGAAAACAAATCCAGACAATCACATTGTCTGATTTGGAAAGAATTTATTTGCAAATTATGGTGGAAAATAAGTATGTGGTCAATATCAAAAGTTCATCTTTTTATTATTATTACTGTATTATACATGCTGTCTTAAAAAAGGATAGTACAGAATTCTAACCAATTTTATATATAGGTAATGGTCCAGTGGTGTCTGACCCTAAAGGGATTGCTCATCTGTTTCCTAGCTGATGGAGCCAGCATTGTTCAAAAACACTTCTGTGTGTCATGTGACTGGCATGACTATATGCCAAGGTACACAAAACGCTGGTACCTTCCCACTGAAATGGATCCTATTTATCTACTTGCATTTACATGCTCTTGAACATCTAGGTTGGCAGGACCTGGGGTGAAACAGCAACTTACCCCGTCTTGCAATGCCTCTGTCTTGAACTTCCAGTTGACAAGGTCAGCATCGTTAACTGCTAGGTCACTGTGCCCCTATTTTACCTATAATGACATCAAAACCTACAATAGTTTCATTAACAAACACATCACTGTTATATAGCTCATGGAAATACAGTGCCATGAACCAAGAAAATTTGGGCTCGTGTTAAAAAGTACAGTAATAATATAAAACGGACATTAACAGATCATAGATCCTGGTAGATTTGTCTGAGATAAAAACCTAACCTGGTAAAGGGGATTCTGTGTTCATAGCTCTCCAAATGTGACTTATTTGTAAGGCAGCCTTTTTTTTAAAAAAAATGAACTTCAAGTCAGTTTTGATTCCTAGTGACTATAGAACAGTGTCTCTCAACCTTGACAATTTTAAGGCATGTGGACTTCAACTCCCAGAATTCCACAGCCAGCACTGCTGGCTGTGGAATTCTGGGAGTTGAAGTCCACATGCCTTAAAATTGTCAAGGTTGAGAAACACTGCTATAGAACCTAGAAAGGTTCAAGTTCATTTAGTTGTCTTGGCAACACTTTTTGGAAGTGGTTTGCCAGAGCTGATTGAGAGTCTGGCCCAAGGTCACCTACCTGATGTGCCTAAGGCAGAACTCAAACATGTGGTCTCCTGATTTCTAGCCTGGTACTTTCAGCCACTACAGAACACTAAATGGAAAGCAAGCCAGTGCGCCATTTTGAATTAAATGCCTTCATCCTGAATCAAGAGGGTGGCTACCAAAATCTGAGCTTGTACGGCAAGGTACAAATAATTTTCCTGGACTCGTGTCATATAAGATATGTGGGTATATGCATACTTCTGTATTTATATAACAACAACAATAACAAAATAACAGATTTGGAAGGGACCTTGGAGGTCTTCTAGTCCAACCCCCTGCTCAGGCAGGAAACCCTATATCATTTCAGACAAACGGCTGTCCGGTCTCTTCTTAAAAACTTCCAGTGTTGGAGCATTCACCACTTCTGGAGGCAGGTTGTTCCAGTCAGAAATTTCTCCTTAGTTCTAGGTTGCTTCTTTGATTAGTTTCCAGCCATTGCTTCTTGTCTTGCCTTCAAGTGCTTTGGAGAATAGCTTGACTCCCTCTTCTTTGTGGCAGCCCCTGTGATATTGGACCACTGCTATCATGTCACCCCTCGTCCTTCTTTTCGTTAAACTAGACATACCCAATTCCAGCAACCGTTCCTTATATGTTTCTGCTCCAGTCCCCTCATTATCTTTGTTGCTCTTCTCTGCACTCTTTCTAGAGTCTCAACATCTTTTTTACATTGTAGTGACTAAAACTGGATGCAGGATTCCAAGTGTGGCCTTACCAAGGCATTATAAAGTGGTATTAACACCTCAGTGATCTTGATTCTATCCCTCAATGCAGCCTAGCACTGTGTTGGCTTTTTTTGGTAGCGGCAGCACACAGCTGGCTCATATTGAAGTGATTGTCCACTAGGACTCCGAGATCCCTCTCACAGTTATTGAGCAAGGTATCTCCTGTACCGGGGTTGGCAACCTTAAACACTCAAAGAGCCGTTTGCACATGTTTCCACAGAAAACACTGGGAGCCACAAAACCCTTTTGACATCTAAAATGAAGGTAACACTGCATATATCATTTTTTTACCTTTATGCTATGTATAAAAAAAACTATAGTGTGTTGCATTTATGAAATCAATGAACTGCTACAAAGAAAATAAATTTTTATTTCAGCACGCAACAAAAACATTTTGAACTCCCAAAAAAAAGACGTTGGGTCGAAGGTTACATTCAAATAAAATACTCAAGGTCTATTTGAGTCCTCCTCCTATTTATGAAATAAAAAGGCAAACTTAACTTATCCGCCTGCAGCAAACTCAAAATGCTGTCTGCTTCTGTGTGCCGTCATCCTTTTATTGCGTGTACTGGAGTGTGCAGTCAGCTGTCGACGAATTAAAAAAGGACTATTTCACTGAACAATGTCAAATATATATTTGCAAAATAATAGCCAATTAAAATATTTATTTTACCTGGTTGATGTGATGTTTGCATCTCAACATCAGCACACAGCATCTGCACATCAGGGCTGTAAGACGTCACCTTCAGCTTCAAACAGGATTGCAAGCTGTTGTCTTTGAGGTGTGAGCAATATTTGTTTTGAATATAGTTCAAGTTGGAGAAGACCTGCTCACATAGGTATGTGGATCCGAAGATCGACAGGACTCCAAATGCATATTTTTTCATGTTCATGTAAGTGTTGGGGATGGTATCCCATGTTTCGAATATAAGCTTGTCCTGTTTGGGAAGGTTTTCAATATCACTCCATTTGTGATTCTGAGCAAGACTGGCCTTCTGACGGGCAACATCTTCAAGATTATCTGCCAAGCGTTGGAACTTGGACACCCATATATCTTTGTCGGCTATGTCGGCCAGTTCCATCTCAAGATCGGGTTGACTTACACCTGGAAATACAGTCATATTCAGTGCAGATGGATCGATGGTCAGGGGAGTGATAGGGAAAGATAACGTGTTTTTTTCCTCTCTGAACTCACAGAATCGCTTCCCAAACGATGTTTGCATTGCAATGATTGCAGACTGCAAATACTCTGAATTTACCATGTCGTGACCTCGTTTGAACTCTCTCAAACAGGGGAAATGAGACAGTGTACCTCTCTGTAAATCTCTGGCAAACACTGTCAACTTGCGCTCAAATGCCAAAACTTCCTCAAGCATGTGCAGGGCTGTGCCTCCTTTACCCTGAAGAGTTGTGTTCAGCGTGTTCAGGTGTGCTGTCATATCGACCATGAAGTGTAGCTTTTCCAACCACTCTGGCTGTTCCAGCTCAGGAAAGGTGAGCCCTTTGCTGCCCAGGTAAGTTTTCACCTCTTCCAGACACGCGACAAAACATTTCAGTACCTTCCCTCTGGACAGCCACCGGACTTTGTCGTGCAGCAGGAGATCAGGATACGTGCTTTCCATCTCCTCTAGTAGCAAACAGAACTGGCGGTGATTTAAACCTTGTGCCATTATTTTATTGACAATCTGAATGACAACATTCATCACTTCTGTGCATTCCGGAGGAAATGTTTGAGCACACAACGCCTCTTGGTGCAGGATGCAGTGAAACGTTAGCAGCGTTCTACCCAGCGACTTCTGCAGTAAAGCCACAAAGCCCTTCTGCGCTCCTGTCATACTCGGTGCCCCATCAGTAGCCACTGATACCAGGTGGGTGGTGTTTATTTCATTGGCTCTTAAATAATCCAAGACAACCTCACAGATGTCCTCCCCCCGTGTTTGGCCTTTTAGTGGTATCAACTCAATCATTTCTTCCTGTGGCCCAACAGAGTTCACATATCGGCAGAACAGCGCTATTTGTTCAATATCACCTTTGTCTTTGGATGCATCACAGGCGATTGAGTATGCCACAGCTGAATTGATGTCGTTAATTTGCAGTCTGGTGATGTTTTCTGACATTTTTATGGTTCTGTCTTTGACAGTCTTTGCAGAGAGAGGCATATCTCTGATTTTCTGCACAAGTTCACTCTTGTTTTTGAAGTCTGAGAATAGATGTTCTGAAATCTTAATGAATGATTCCTTGATATACTCTCCATCTGTGAATGGCTTCCCGTGCCTGACTATTTCCTGAGCGGCCACAAAACTAGCATATGTAGTTGAATTTGCAGACTTCACACACTCCTTAAAATGATTCTTGCTCAGATCAACCATCTGCATCAATTCCGAAATGGCTTTTTTTCTCTCATCTCCATCCGGGTATTTTTCAGCAAAGGCTGTGTGTTTCTTCTGGAAATGTCTTGCAACATTCGACTTTTTGTTGTTTGCCAATTTCTTACCACATATTAAACATACTGGTAAACCAGTCTTGTCAGTAGTGAAAGCAAATGAATCTGCCCATGTATCTTTAAACTTTCTGTTTTCTTCTGAAATTTTTCTTTTCTTGTATGATTTATCCATGGTTGGCCTACTGGGGGTCGAAAAGCACAATAAATCTCATGCCAGCGGGTGTTGCACATTGGCAATTGTGACCAGTACTGGGAATCAAATAATTTAACAACCAGTTCCCTGCAGAATTCCTCCCCCCTGCACGGAGTACCCCAGCGCCACTACTTCCCCCCCAACCCTGACATAGCGCTACACTGCCACTGCTGCTTCCCACCCAGGACGGCACGCTCCGCCGCTGCTTTACCCAGTGGTGAAGGTGGAGTTTGGGAGGCAGCGGCAGGGCACAGCCCAGGCATGGCCGAGCAGCAGCAGTAAAGCTGTTTCTCCCCATTCAAGGTGCAGCAGGATTGCTCTCAATAAGGCGGGCGCACACGAGTGAGCAGCGCACCCGGCTCTTATTGTTTGAGAGCAATCCCGCTGCTGCGCCTCCACTTTCTTCAACCATGATTCCTTCCCAGCCAGCCAGCTCTTCATGAATTTAATATGGACATAAAAATGTTTCACCGCCTTTATCAATATCACAAAGAAAAGTTTAAGAACTTTAATTGTGCTTGATCAGATGCACTCCTTTTCCTCCAGTCACTCTCTTGGCATCTCTACCCACTTCATCACTCTCTGAAAGCCAGAGGACTCACAACGATCCACACTCATAGAGAGGAGCATGTTATCCAATCTGAGCTGTCATAACCTTTCGTTCATGATTATAGCAGGTTATTCTCTATCTCACTTTTGTCTCCATCTCTCTGTCTCTGTCTCTCTCTCATTAAATGTTCTCTGTTTTTCAAATATTTGTATTAAGGATTATAAATGAAAAGAGTAAAAGCTGGTGCAAACCATAAAAACTACAAATAGAAAAATAGAAAAGAAAAAAAATTGCAGAGAAAAAAAGAAATGGATAGGAGAAAGGGGGGAGGAACCCTTCTCCTTCATCCCAAAAGGTAAAAACAATTTTAGTAGCTTATCTACCATCTTTAAATACAGCATAATTATCCCTATACCTCATCTCTTAATTAAAAAAAAATCAAAATATTTCATTAAACGTTCTTTACTAAAAGTCTAGTATATTCATATTCTCTCTCTCTCTCTCTCTCTCTCTCTCTCTCTCTCTCTCTCTCTCTCTCTCTCTCTCCACCCCCCTCCCTCTCTCCCTCTCCCTCCCAGCAAACCACTTACTGGGAAAATCTAACAACTTCCAATCCTTTTTGTCTTTTAGAAGGGGGTGGCTGCCACTCGCCTATCTCAATAACTGTCTCACAGATCCTAGGAAACAAAAAAAGTAAAAGGACAACAGTTTCCATTACATGCTTCCCCCCCCCAATCTTTTAAAAATTAATTTCAATATATTCCAGAGTATGCCTGTCCACCTGGCTGTGGCTTTGCAGCGTCCCTTAAATTGGGTTTGGAAGCTCATGAGACTAGAGCAGCCCAATTAATGTTGAGAAGATGACAATATCCAACGTAGAGTTGATAGAGCCCTTCCACACGACACACCAGGCAGGATGATTGCCTCTTGAGCTGCTGTCTAATTCTTACAATAATGATTTCCATACACATAATTCTTGCATTAAATTTGCATGGCCAATTAAATAAAAGAACTACTCAAGGCAAATAAAGATGTCACAAAAAGATGCATCCCAGGGCTCTGGAAAGACCTCTGGAAACCAAAGTGATGCTTCACCATTTGGGTTCGGGAAAAGACCAGCCTCTGTTGCAATTCACATGCTCTCTCTCTCCCCCTCTCACTCTCTCTCTTTCTCCCTCCCTCTCAGCAAACCACTTACTGGGAAAATCTATCAACTTCCAATTCTTCTTCTCTTTTAATAGGGGGTGGCTGCCACTCGCCTGTCTCAATAACTCTCTGACCGTTCCTAGGAAACAAGAACAGTAAAAGGACCACAACAGTTTGCATTACATGCTTTCCCCAGGGCGCTGGGAAGACGTCTGGAAACCAAATTGATGCTTCACCATTTGGGTTGGGAAGAGACCAGCCTCTGTTGCAGTTCACATGCTCCCTCCCTCCCTCCCTCTCTCTCTCCCTCCCTCCCTCTGCCTCCCAGCAAACCACTTACTGGGAAAATCTATCAACTTCCAATTCTTCTTCTCTTTTAAAAGGGGGTGGCTGCCACTCGCCTGTCTCAATAACTCTCTGACCGTTCCTAGGAAACAAGAACAGTAAAAGGACCACAACAGTTTGCATTACATGCTTTCCCCAGGGCGCTGGGAAGACGTCTGGAAACCAATTTGATGCTTCACCATTTGGGTTGGGAAGAGACCAGCCTCTGTTGCAGTTCACATGCTCCCTCCCTCTCTCTCCTTCTCTTTCTCCCTCCCTCCCTCTCCCTCCCTCCCTCCCCCTCTCTCTCCCCCTCCCTCTCCCTCCCAGCAAACTACTTACTGGGAAAATCTATCAACTTCCCATTCTTCTTCTCTTTTAAAAGGGGGTGGCTGCCACTCGCCTGTCTCAATAGCTCTCTGACCGTTCCTGGGAAACAAGAAAAGGACCACAACAGTTTGCTTTACATCAGCGGTGTCAAACTCAATTTCACTGAGGGCCGCATCAGCATTGCGGTTGCCCTTGGGGGGCCGGGTGGATGTGGCCAGGGTGGGTGCGGCCCACTGGGTGGGTGTGGCCTACTGGGTGGGCATGGCCAGCTCTATATCGTTCACATCAAGGCAGGCAGTGAGGTGCTCTCCTCACAGTGCCAAGAGGTTGAGCCAGGCAGTGGGAAGCTCGTCAGCTTTGCACCTTGCTGCCTGCTGAAACTGGGCAGACTGGGGGCTAGGCAGCATTGCACCTTATTAGATTCCCACTACCCAGCTCAGCTCTTGGCACTGTGAGTTTAGCACCCTGCTGCCTGCTGAAACCCGGCAGGCTGGGAGCTGGGTGGCGTCGCGCTTCTTTTTGGATTTCCGACGCCCAGCTCAGCCTCTCAGCACTATGAGGAGAGCACCCTGCTGCCTGCCAAAAACCCTGCCCCAGAGCCCATCAAGCTAGATATGTGAAGTGGTGAGGGCCATTTGCTGGCCACTTTCAAGCGATGGTATATTTCTTCATTCCTCACAAAGGGTGGCACCTCCCAGCATACACCCAGGGGGTGGGCCGATGCAGCAGGGTCTGGTTCCTCACTGTTTCCAGATGGCCTTGTGGAGCTAAGACTGAATACGTTTCAGCCTAGGTGGTCACCACAAAATTGTACATTGGCTCCTGGCTGGCCTCGGCCAGGGCCAAGGCAGCAGGGGCCGTTCCCTCAGTTTCCAGGATGGCTTCGCAGGCCACATGAAACCACATCGCGGGCCGCATCCGGCCCCCGGGCCTTGTGTTTGACATGTCTGGTATAAAGTCTCCTGCTTGAGCAAGGGGCTGGACTAGAAGACCTCCAAGATCCCTTCCAGCTCTACATTATTCTGAACTTTAAAAGGAAGGATACATTCAAAAGTTGTCCAAAGCAACTGGACTGAGAAGATACTGGATTTATTTCTGGAAAGGAGGGGCGGCGACAACAGCTTCCTTCTTCCTGTTCCTCCCTCCATGGAAAATGGTCCCTTTCTCCCACTCAGGGCATGAGCAGCTGCATTGCATGCAGGATCCTCCAGGGGGCTCCCTCTGCCAAAGGAAGGCAACACCAGGAGCTTCCCCATTGGGTCACTGGAAGGCGAAAGTCACGGCTGGCTTTCCAGAGGAGGCGTGACATCACAAACGGGCCGCATCTGGCCCCCAGGCCTTGTGTTTGACACGTCTACTTTACATGCTTTTCCCAGGGCTCTGGAAAGACATCTGGAAACCAAACTGATGCTTCACCATTTGGGTTGGGAAGAGACCAGCCTCTGCTGCAGTTCACAGGCTCTCTCCCTCTCTCTTCCCCCCCTCTTCCTTTCTCCCTCTCTCTCCCTCTCCCTCCCAGCAAACCACTTACTGGAAAAATCTTTCAACTTCCAATTCTTCTTCTCTTTTAAAAGGGGGTGGCTGCCACTCGCCTGTCTCAATAACTCTCTGACCATACCTAGGAAACAAGAACAGTAAAAAGACCACAACAGTTTGCTTTACATTCTTTTCCCAGGGTACTGGAAAGACGTCTGGAAACCAAACTGATCCTTCACCATTTGGGTTGGGAAGAGACCAGCCTCTGTTGTAGTTCACATGCTCCCTCCCTCCCTCTCCCTCCCTTCCCTCCCTCCCTCTCTCTCTCTCCCTCCCTCCCTCTCTCTCTCCCTCCCTCCCTCTGCCTCCCAGCAAACGACTTACTGGGAAAATCTATCAACTTCCAATTCTTCTTCTCTTTTAAAAGGGGGTGGCTGCCACTCGCCTGTCTCAATAACTCTCTGACCGTTCCTAGAAAACAAGAACAGTAAAAGGACCACAACAGTTTGTATTACATGCTTTTCCTAGGGCGCTGGAAAGACGTCTGGAAACCAAATTGATGCTTCACCATTTGGGTTGGGAAGAGACCAGCCTCTGTTGCAGTTCACATGCTCCCTCCCTCTCTCTCCTTCTCTTTCTCCCTCCCTCTCCCTCCCTCCCCCCCTCTCTCTCTCCCTCCCTCTCCCTCCCAGGAAACCACTTACTGGGAAAATCTATCAACTTCCAATTCTTCTTCTCTTTTAATAGGGGGGGGCTGCCACTCGCCTGTCTCAATAGCTCTCTGACCGTTCCTAGGAAACAAGAAAAGTAAAAGGACCACAACAGTTTGCTTTACATCAGCGGTGTCAAACTCAATTTCACTGAGGGCCGCATCAGCATTGCGGTTGCCCTTGGGGGGCTGGGTGGGTGTGGCCAGGCTGGGTGCGGCCCACTGGGTGGGTGTGGATGGAGTGAGTGTGGCCTACTGGGTGGGCATGGCCAGCTCTATATCGTTCATGTCAAGGCAGCCAGTGAGGCGCTCTCCTCACAGCGCCAAGAGGTTGAGCAGGCGGTGTGAAGCTCGTCAGCTTTGCACCTTGCTGCCTGCTGAAACTAGGCAGACTGGGGTCTAGGCAGCATTGCACTTCTTTTTGGATTCGCGCTGCCCAGCTTAGCCTCTCAGCGCTGTGAGGAGAGCACCCTGCTGCCTGCCGAAACCCCTTCCCCGGAGCCCATCAAGCCAGATAGGTGAAATAGGTGAGGGCCATTTGCTGGCCACTTCCAGGCGATGGTGCATTTCTTCATTCCTCACAAAGAGTGACACCTCCCCAGCATGCACCCAAGAGGTAGGGCCGATGGGGCAGGGGCTGATTCCTCACTGTTTGCAGACAGCCTTGTGCAGCTAAGACTGAATGTATTTCAGCATAGATGGCCACCACAAACTTGTACATTGGCTCCCGCCGACCTGGGCTAGGGCCAAGGCAAAGGGGGCCATTCCCTCACTGTTGCCAGGATGGCTTTGCGAGCCACATGCAACCACTTCGCGGGCTGCATCCGGCCCCCTGGCCTTGTATTTCACATGTCTGCTTTACATGCTTTTCCTAGGTCGCTGGAAAGACGTCTGGAAACCAAATTGATGCTTCACCATTTGGGTTGGGAAGAGACCAGACTCCCTCCCTCTCTCCCTCCCTCCCTCCCTCTCTCTCCCTTCCTTTCTCTCTCCCTCCCTCTGCCTCCCAGCAAACCACTTACTGGGAAAATCTATCAACTTCCAATTCTTCTTCTCTTTTAAAAGGGGGTGGCTGCCACTCGCCTGTCTCAATAACTGTCTGACCATTCCTAGGAAACAAGAACAGTAAAAGGACCACAACAGTTTGCATTACATGCTTTCCCCAGGGCTCTGGAAAGACGTCTGGAAACCAAATTGATGCTTCACCGTTTGGTTGGGAAGAGACCAGCCTCTGTTACAGTTCACATGCTCCCTCCCTCTCTTTCCCTCTCTTTCTCCCTCCCTCTCTCCCTCCCCTCCCTCTCTCTCTCTCTCTCTCTCTCTCTCTCTCCCTCCCTCCCTCTCTCTCCCTCCCTCCCTCCCTCCCAGCAAACCACTTACTGGGAAAATCTATCAACTTCCAATTCTTCTTCTCTTTTAATAGGGGGTGGCTGCCACTCGCCTGTCTCAATAACTGTCTGACCGTTCCTAGGAAACAAGAAAAGTAAAAGGACAACAGTTTGCTTTACATGCTTTTCCCAGGGCTCTGGAAAGACGTCTGGAAACCAAACTGATGCTTCACCATTTGGGTTGGGAAGAGACCAGCCTCTGTTACAGTTCACATGCTCCCTCCCTCTCTTTCCCTCTCTTTCTCCCTCCCTCTCTCCCTCCCCTCCCTCTCTCTCTCTCTCTCTCTCTCCCTCCCTCCCTCTCTCTCCCTCCCTCCCTCCCTCCCTCCCTCCCTCCCTCCCTCCCTCCCAGCAAACCACTTACTGGGAAAATCTATCAACTTCCAATTCTTCTTCTCTTTTAATAGGGGGTGGCTGCCACTCGCCTGTCTCAATAACTGTCTGACCGTTCCTAGGAAACAAGAAAAGTAAAAGGACAACAGTTTGCTTTACATGCTTTTCCCAGGGCTCTGGAAAGACGTCTGGAAACCAAACTGATGCTTCACCATTTGGGTTGGGAACAGACCAGCCTCTGTTGCAGTTCACATGCTCTCTCTCTCTCTTTCTTTCCCTCCCTCTCACACTGTCAAATGAATAGGCCCCGCCTCTCCTACCATATCCCACTCGCTTCTCCCTTACGCTCCTCATTGTGCTCCCCTTTCGCCAGATTCCCCTGCATAGAATTGGATGAGGCTTCTTGAAGAGGAGGGGGCTACCGTGCCCGAGTAACTGATTGGAGGAGCGGTCCAGGTGGGAAGGGAATGGCCGGAATTGAACCTAGAGCGCCTTTACCTTGCATCAGCCTTATCAAGTAGGAAGGCGCCTCCACCACTGCTTCTGGCTGCCTTCCTCGCGCTCCAGGGCGTGAATGAGGCGAGCGCCTCGTGCATAAAAGGCGCTCCCTGGGGCCAGAGCATGCGGCGGCTATAAAGAGCTGCCCTTTCCTTCAGTGCTAAGGTGCTAAGCAGTTTCGAGGCTGGAGACACCTTCCTAAAGCAGCCTCGGCTGAAGCTCTTCCAGCTGCGGAGCTTCGGGTGGTTCCTGAGGAAACGCTCTTCTCCCACACTCAAATCGGCTGCTAGCGGCTTGCGTGGCTCCGCTCCATCTGAGATGAAGAAAGCGGAGGCCAGCAGAAAGCAGCTTTCTTCAACTCGGACGGAGCAGAGCCATCCAAACCGCTAGCAGCCAATTTGAGTGTGGAAGACGAGAGGCCAGGTGAGAATATCGGCGATGGTGGCTGGGTGGCTGTGGAGGGGGGATCATGGCAGTGGCACTGGCAGGTCCCCCCACCCAGCCCGTTTCCCCAGCTCCATTTGTTGGCAGAAACCCCCCCGCTCCCCGCACGCCCCATCTGACGCACGCATCTTCTTTCCAGCAGGCCTCCGTCTCTTCCTCGGCCGCTGCCACATGCAGTCCCAAGAAGAAAAGAAGTTTGTGGACAGTCCCATAAACAAAAGAAGTTCAATCAATCAATTCCAACTTTGCGAGATATTTTTTTTTTTTCGTGAGAAGTTGGAATTGATTGATTGAACTTTTTTAGTCCCACCTTTTTCTTTTTTGTGGGACTGCAAATGGTGGAGGAAGACTGGAAGCCGCAGTAGAAGGCTGAAAGAGCCGCATGGTCTCCAGAGCCGGGGGTTGCCGACCCGTGTACTGGAGCATAAACGGAAAATGAGCTTTCACGATTCCAATTATTCAACTTATTTTTCTCATGCCTTTTTACTTCCATCTGATTTGCCAGCTTTTCTGTTCTGTCTCCACGACTGATCACTTGGAATGGTTCCCTGCTATCTTGATTCTCCTCCCCATTATTACCTTCAAAGGAAAAGAGAAATCGAACTCATAACAATGTTAGGCAAAAAAAAAAATCAAACTACAGAAAGTATTAAGAATTTCCTTCCCAAAATTTGCCAAATTCCAATTTCTCTATCAATAAAGGAGAATATTTATAGATCAGGGTTGAAATAATAATAATAATGATGATAATGATGATGTTGGAAGGGACCTTGGAGGTTATCTAGTCCAACCCCCTGCCCAGGCAGGAAACCCTATATCATTTCGGACAAATTGCTTCCAGTCTCTTCTTAAAAACTTCCACTGTTGGAGCATTCACAGCTTCTGGAGCAGTGGTTCTCAACCTTTTTAATGCCGTGACCCCAACCGGTCGTAAGTCGAGGACTACTCAACTGGTCGTAAGTCGAGGACTACTCAACTGGTGCAGCACCGTTTGCAGAATGGGACTTTTGGCGGGCTCAGCAGGGCAGAGACAGCCTGGACAATTCCTATTGGCTTTTGAAAGCCAATAGAATTAGACTCTATTCAAGAGAGTCTATTCTATTGGCTTTCAAAAGCCAATAGAATAAAAGGGAGTAGTACAGCTAAGGAAAAGGGGGAAAAATGGCAGACTGCGTTGTTTGGCGACCCCTGTGAAATGGTCGTTTGACCCCAAATGGGGTCTCAACCCACAGGTTGAGAACCACTGTTCTGGAGGCAGGTTGTTCCACTGAGGTATCCTTTGGTGTTCTCTGTGCCTGGTTGTTTTCTTGCAGACATTTCATTACCCAAACTCGATAACACTGTTGTTGTTTTTTAATTTGTTTACTTTTCATGTTTCAAGATTGCCCATCCCCCTCAAGAAGGGTTTATTGCACAGTGGCATACTTACAAGTGGCATAGTATGGACATGATTAGTATCTAAAGCATCTTTTTTTGCTCAGAATTATCTGAACATATTGAAATCTCAAGCAGAATCTGCTCTCAATTAAGGAACAAACAGGGAAGCATTCAAAGAGATATTGGGAGAAAACCTAGCGTTTATTGGACGGCAGCCGATTCCACTAGAAACCTCAAAAAACAGTAAATCGATTTAGTCATTAATCCAAGAGCCTGTATCAGTGACAATCCTAGCACAGATGGGAAAGCATCTGGGACCAAAAAGCTGGAGTCAGTGTGATGGAACTGAGCATCTCCTCAAGGCAAGGAGTTAGTTTGTCACTCTTGAAACGGAAATGGAAAAATTCGGTAGATGAGAAATAACAAAAGATGTATCAAAGCATCAACACATTGACCTAATCCTTCTCCCCCCCCCCAGGAGATGACATTTGGATGGGGATTTTTTTAAAATAAGAAACAGCCGATGGCATCTAATTAAAGGATGTCTTCCCAAACTCTCTGGTGAGTAGCACACTCTTACCCAGAGAGGTCACGTTCCTATAATTTTCCAGCATGACTTCCCAATGCAGCGCTTTTTGGTCAGGATCCAGCTGAGACCACTCCTCCTCGGAGAAATACACAGCTACCTCCTTGAAAGCCGCGAGATCCTCCTGAACAAGGAAAAAGAGAACAGAACAAGCCCAGAAGGATTTGTAAGAGCTGTTTTATTGTTCCCAACTTCCCAAAGCAAAGACATGTACTAATTTACAGTGGAGCAAAAAAGTATTTAGTCAGCCACCAATTGTGCAAGTTCTCCCACTTAAAAAAATGAGAGGCCTGTAATTGTCATCATAGGTAGACCTCAACTATGAGAGACAAAATGAGAAAACAAATCCAGACAATCACATTGCCTGATTTGGAAAGAATTTATTTGCAAATTATGGTGGAAAATAAGTATGTGGTCACCTACAAACAAGCAAGATTTCTGGCTCTCACAGACCTGTAACTTCTTCTTTAAGAGGCTCCTCTGTCCTCCACTCATTACCTGTATTAATGGCACCTGTTTGAACTTGTTATCAGTATAAAAGACACCTGTCCACAACCTCAAACAGTCACACTCCAAACTCCACTATGGTGAAAACCAAAGAGCTGTCGAAGGACACCAGAAACAAAATTGTAGACCTGCACCAGGCTGGGAAGACTGAATCTGCAATAGGCAAGCAGCTTGGTGTGAAGAAATCAACTATGGGAGCAATAATTAGAAAATGGAAGACATACAAGACCACTGATAATCTCCCTCGATCTGGGGCTCCACGCAAGATCTCACCACGTGGGGTCAACATGATCACAAGAACGGTGAGCAAGAATCCCAGAACCACATGGGGGGGACCTAGTGAATGACCTGCAGAGAGCTAGGACCAATGTAAGAAAGGCAACCATCAGTAACACACTACACCGCCAGGGACTCAGATCCTGCAGTGCCAGATGTGTCCCCCTGCTTAAGCCAGTACATGTCCAGGCCCGTCTGAAGTTTGCTAGAGAGCATTTGGATGATCCAAAAGAGGATTGGGAGAATGTCCTATGGTCAGATGAAACCAAAGTAGAACTGTTTGGTAGAAACACAACTCGTCATGTTTGGAGGAAAGAGAATGCTGAGTTGTATCCAAAGAACACCATACCTACTGTGAAGCATGGGGGTGGCAACATCATGCTTTGGGGCTGTTTTTCTGCAAAGAGACCAGGACGACTGATCCGTGTAAAGGAAGGAATGAATGGGGCCATGTATTGTGAGATTTTGAGTGCAAACCTCCTTCCATCAGCAAGGGCATTGAAGATGAAACGTGTCTGGGTCTTTCAGCATGACAATGATCCCAAACATACCACCCGGGCAATGAAGGAGTGGCTTCGTAAGAAGCATTTCAAGGTCCTGGAGTGGCCTAGCCAGTCTCCAGATCTCAACCCCATAGAAAACCTTTGGAGGGAGTTGAAAGTCCGTGTTGCCCAGCGACAGCCCCAAAACATCACTGCTGTAGAGGAGATCTGCATGGAGGAATGGGCCAACATACCAGCAACAGTGTGTGCCAACCTTGTGAAGACTTACAGAAAACGTTTGACCTCTGTCATTGCCAACAAAGGATATATAACAAAGTATTGAGATGAACTTTTGATATTGACCACATACTTATTTTCCACCATAATTTGCAAATAAATTCTTTCCAAATCAGACAATGTGATTGTCTGGATTTGTTTTCTCATTTTGTCTCTCATAGTTGAGGTCTACCTATGACGACAATTACAGGCCTCTCTCATCTTTTTAAGTGGGAGAACTTGCACAATTGGTGGCTGACTAAATACTTTTTTGCCCCATTGTAAATGTCTGTGCTTGATAGGATTCCAGGGTTATGTGAGAACATAGAAGGAGCCAACAACCTTTGACTGAAAAAATAATTTTGGGCAGATTTTATCAATTTGATTGATTCTGCAAGACTTTCAGTGCCATTCAATGAAAGTAACCTCGCTTCTATATCTATCTATCTATCTATCTATCTATCTATCTATCTATCTATCTATCTATCTATCTATCTATCCAGCCATCCATTCATCTATCCATTATCAAAAGACTCCCATGATCTGGAGAGAATCAACTTGCAGATGGGCCTTAGAATCCCTAACTATCACTGACCCCAATCCTTTCCCTGTTTGCGGAAGGAAATGAGAGGAGGAGATTCTTTCTAGCATTTCAGCAAAAGGCTTATGATGTCCCCATAAGAAACAATCCTAGGAGGGTGAAAGTTCGTTCTCCGAGCTTGTGGGTTGGTTTCTGAACGTTTCGTTACCAGGCTAGGTAGGACTAGGTAAACTCTTCAGCAGAGTTCAGGGGATGTCAGTATCAGTGTTCTTCTGTTTTAAGGGTTTCAGGTGTGGGTGTCAAGTGAGGGGTCTCATGATGCCATCTCCCACCAGTTCACCTCCCAATAACCTTGACCTGACAGAACCACCTTATCATAAGGTCCATCACAAGCCTCTCCATTATGCCTTATACCAGTGGTTCTCAACCTGTGGGTCGGGACCCCATTTGGGGTCGAACGACCATTTCATGGGGGTCACCAAACCATGCTGTCCACCATTTTGTTCCCTTTTCCCTAGCTGTCCTACTCCCTCTTATTGGTGGCCACACCCACTTGGGGGTCACCACAACATGGGGAACTGTATTATGGGGTCACGGCATTAGAAAGGTTAAGAACCACTGCCTTATACCTATCCCGTCATAAGACTCCCACTTGACACACCTACACCTGGAGCCCCTATAAACAAAAGAACACTGATACTGACATCCCCTGAATTCTGCTGAAGAGGTTACCTAGTCCTACCTAGCCTGGTAACGAAACGTTCGGAAACCAACCTACAAGCTCGGAGAACACACCGCCCTCATCCTGCACCCAAGCTACAGATGATGATGATGATGATGACGACAACAACAACAACAACAACAACAACAATAATAATAAACAAAAATGGTAAAAAAAGAGCAAGGAAAATCAAAAATTTGGTGAAGATGAAATGCACCAGGTGAAGATGAACTGCATGGGTTTTGGTTGAAACATCTAACTGTTATACACCCACTCACTGCCAAGCAGTTCAACAATATACTACAAGGAGGAGAAATTGAAAAGTGGCTAACAACTGGGAAAACCTACCTAATAATGAAAAATCCAGCAAAAGGGGCAACACCAGGTAACTACAGGCCAATTACCTGCTTACCAACAACTTTCAAATTACTAACTGGTGTGATAGCTGATGCAGTACAACAGCATCTAGTTGAAAACAATCTCTTTCCACCTGAGCAGAAAGGAAACCGCCCCAATAGCAGAGGAACAAAAGATCAACTCCTAATAGACAAAATGATCTTGGAAAACTGCAAGAAAGGAAGACCAACCTGAATGTGGCATGGATTGACTACAAAAAGGCATTTGACTCTCTGCCACATGACTGGATAATCAAGTGCTTAGAAATAACAGGAGTCAGTAGAAACATCAGAAAATTTGTGCAAAGATCGATGGCACAATGGAAGACACAGTTGCAGATCAATGGTGAGAGGCTGGGAGAGGTTAATATCAAGAGAGGAATATTTCAAGGAGATTCATTATCACCATTACTATTTGTTATTGCACTGTTTCCTCTGTCAACAATACTGAATAACTCAGGACATGGCTATCAAACATCAAAAACATCTGCCAGACTATCCCACCTCCTTTACATGGATGATCTGAAGCTGTATGGAAAAACATCATCTGAAATAGAATCGCTGCTCAACACTGTCCGTATATATAGCCAAGATATTGTAATGGAGTTTGGCTTGGACAAATGTGCCACACTTACTATCAAACAAGGAAAAATAGTGAAAACTGAAGGAATCAAGATGCCCCACGAAAATAACATTAAGAGTCTGGATGAGGAAGAGTACTACAAATACTTGGGTATCCTTCAAGCTGACAACATCAAGCACACTGAAGTCAAGAAAAAGATTAGAGGTGAATACATCAAGAGAGTGAAGAAGATCTTAAAGTCCAAACTCAATGGAGGAAATACCATAAAGGCAATCAACACCTGGGCAATTCCAGTCATTAGATACACAGCTGGAATAGTGGACTGGACTCAAGCAGAACTAAAAGCAATGGATAGGAAGACCAGAAAAATAATGACAATGAATCATGCCCTTCATCCACGCAGTGACATTGATAGACTTTATCTACCAAGGCAAATAGGTGGGCGTGGAATGCTACAAGTACATCAGATGGTTGAAGAAGAAAAAATGGCTTTGGAAGAATATCTGAAGAACAATGATGAAGATGCACTGAAATTAGTATATCAGGAAGGCTTACTGACTACTGGAGAGACCAAACTGGCCTACAAGAAAGACCAAATGAAGAACAGAATAGAGGCATGGGAAGACAAAGCACTACATGGCCAATACATTAAAAAAATAGCTGGGAAAGCAGATAATAACAAGACCTGGCAATGGCTAAGAGCAGGAAAATTGAAGAAAGAGACCGAGGGACTAATTCTGGCTGCACAAGACCAAGCCTTAAGGACAAATGCATATAAAGTCAAAATTGAGAAGACAGCAACAGACAGTAAGTGCCGCCTATGCAAAGAAGCTGAAGAAACAGTGGACCACTTGGTAAGCTGTTGCAAGAAGATTGCACAGACTGATTACAAGCAGCGGCATGACAAAGTAGCAACAATGGTGCATTGGAAGATCTGCAAAAAATATCATTTGCCTGTAAGCAAAAACTGGTGGGATCATAAAATAGAGAAAGTCATAGAAAATGATAAAATTAAACTGCTCTGGGACTTCAGAATTCAAACAGACAAGCACCTGCAACATAACACCCCAGACTTAACAATTGTCGATAAGAAAGACAAAAAAGTCTGGATAGTGGACGTGGCAGTGCCTGGAGACAGCAGAAGAGACGAGAAAGAACTGGAGAAGATAACAAAATACAAAGACCTACAAATAGAAATAGAAAGACTGTGGCAAAAGCAAGCAAGGGTAGTACCAATAGTCATCGGCGGTTTGGGTGCAATCCCATAACAACTGGAGCACCACTTGAACACCATTGGCATTGACAAATTCGCTATTAGTCAATTGCAAAAGGCGGCCTTACTAGGAACTGCTTTCATCCTGCGACGATATCTGTAATACCATCAAACATCCACATCTGCCTATCCCAGGTCCTGGGTAAGGACTCGATAGGTAGACAAAATGCCAAATCCAGTCTGAACATCTGGCTGACTGTGCGATGATCAATAATAAAAAAAAACTGGCCTACAAGAAAGACCAAATGAAGAACAGAATAGAGGCATGGGAAGACAAAGCACTACATGGCCAGTACGTTAAAAAAATCTTATTGCATTCTTTGACCAAGTGACAAAATTAGTGGATCAGAGGAATGCTGTGGACATAATTTACTTGGACTTCAGTAAGGCATTTGATAAAGTAGATCACAACCTACTACTTGATAAGATAGAAAAATGTGGGGTAGACAGAATCACCACCAAATGGATCCATAGCTGGCTGACTGGCCGTACTCAGCGAGTGGTCTTCAATGGAACTGCATCTATATGGAGGGAAGTGTGTAGTGGGATGCCCCAGGGCTCTGTTCTGGGCCCAGTGCTCTTCAACATCTTCATCAACGATTTGGATGAAGGGATAGATGGGGAACTCATCAAATTTGCAGATGACATCAAGCTGGCAGGAATAGCCAACACTCCAGAAGACAGGGTTAAGATACAGAAGGATCTGGACAGACTTGAACATTGGGCGCTATCTAACAAAATGAAATTCAGTGGTGAAAAAAGCAAGGTTCTACATTTAGGCAAGAAAAACCAAATGCACAAGTACAGCATAGGTGGCATCATGCTCAATAGTAGTAACTGTGAGAGGGACCTCGGAGTCCTAGTAGACAATCACCTAAACATGAGCCAGCAGTGTGCTGCAGCTGCCAAAAAGGCCAACACAGTGCTAGGCTGCATTAACAGAGGGATAGAATCAAGATCACGTGAAGTATTAATACCACTCTACAATGCCTTGGTAAGGCCACACTTGGAATACTGCATCCAGTTTTGGTCACCACGATGTAAAAAAGATGTTGAGACTCTAGAAAGAGTACAGAGAAGAGCAACAAAGATGATTAGGGGATTGGAGTCTAAAACATATAAGGAACGGTTGCTAGAATTGGGTATGACTCTAGTTTAACGAAGAGAAGGACAAGGGGGGACATGATAGCAGTATTCCAATATCTCAGGGGCTGCCATAAAGAAGAGGGAATCAAGCTATTTTCCAAAGCACCTGAAGGCAGGACAAGAAGCAACGGGTGGAAACTAATCAAGGAGAGAAGCAACCTAGAACTACGGAGAAACTTCCTGACAGTGAGAACAATTAACCAGTGGAACAGCCTGCCTCCAGAAGCAGTAAATGCTCCAACACTGGAAGTTTTTAAGAAGAGACTGGACAGCCAGTTGTCCAAAATGGTGTAGGGTTTCCTGCCTGAGCAGGGGGTTGGACTAGATGACCTCCAAGGTTCCTTCCAACTTTACTATTATTATTACTATTATTATTAATAATAATAATATTTTTTCAATAATAATGATGATGATGATTGATGATGATGATAAAGTTGGAAGGGATCCCTCTCGTCCTTCTCTTCATTAAACTAGACATACCCAATTCCAGCAACTGTTCCTTATATGTTTTAGCCTCCAGTTCCCTAATCATCTTTGTTGCTCTTCTCTGCACTCTTTCTAGAGCAGGGGTGTCAAACTCAATTTCATTGAGGGCTGCATCAGCATTGCAGTTGCCTCAAGGGGGCGGGTGGGTGCAGCCAGGGTGGGTGAAGCCTACTGGGTGGGCATGTTTATATTTCTTTTTGCGTCTTAAATTTCACTTGTCATTCAATCATTAAATGTTCCTGTTTTTCTTTTCGGGCATTTCACTTTCTTGCAGTTGAATTTTGTTTTCAGTGGTCATTACATTTAAGTGTCTTGAATAAATAAGATAATAATGAAATACATGTTATCACGAAGTTTGGGAATAAAGTGACGGGTGGCACCAAAATTTTTCACACAGTTGAGATATGGGAAAAAAACCTGGAAATAAATTATTTGCATCGATATGTCCCAATGACAAATTTAAAGAAAACAAAACAAGTGTTTGCATAAATTGAAGAATTATTTCCTATGTTGTGATTGAGAGGTTATGTTGGGGGAGGGGGGCAATGACAATTTCCTCATTGGCTCAAGGGGGCGATTCATTCAAAGAGGTTAAGAACCACTGGACTAGATGACCAACTTTATTATTATTATGATGGATCATCACACAGTCAGCCAGATGTTCAGACTGGATTTGGCATTTTGTCTACCTATCGAGTCCTTACCCAGGACCTGGGATAGGCAGATGTGGATGTTTGATGGTATTACAGATATCGTCGCAGGATGGAAGCAGTTCCTAATAAGGCCGCCTTTTGCAATTGACTAATAGCGAATTTGTAAATGCCAATGGTGTTCAAGTGGTGCTCCAGTTGTTTTGGGATTGCACCCAAGGAGCCTATGACTATTGGTACTACCCTTGCTTGCTTTTGCCACAGTCTTTCTATTTCTATTTGTAGGTCTTTGTATTTTGTTATCTTCTCCAGTTCTTTCTCGTCTATTCTGCTGTCTCCAGGCACTGCCACGTCCACTATCCAGACTTTTTTGTCTTTCTTATCGACAATTGTTAAGCGTGGGGTGTTATGTTGCAGATGCTTGTATTATTATTATTATTATTATTATTATTATTATTATTATTATTATTATACTAATGCCAGGAAGAATAACCAGAAGAAGAGTGAAGAGCAGGCCTTTAAAAATATTTCCTGATAATGGTGGAAATTACAAACCACGGGATCCAAGTGACTTCAAAGAAAACTAAGCTGACTGATAGCAACTTGAGTCTTCTATTCCCCTGTCCAGTTGCTCAGGAACACAAAAATAACCCAACCCCAAAAAAGAAGAACAACTGTAAGGAGAAAATGCTTTGAACATCAGCTTCATTTCCTGGAAAAAAAAAGGGAAAACGTAAACCTAATAAATTAATTTTCCCCTCTTACTTGAGTTGGAAGTTTAATCACGATTTCATCTCCATCATAAAGAGCAGACAACTTCACTTGACTCTTTCCTGTAAGGGATACAGAATTTTAAAATACATGATTAAAGTAATAGGGATAATAGGATACATAAAGAAGAGGAGACAGCTGGGACCTCACTGTGGAATAGAAAAGTCTTCAATTACCTCCTGATGTATCTTGACTTGGGTCTTCCTGAGAGATCCTCCTGAAAAGCAGCATCTGAGAGGGATTTGATAGATCTCTGACCTCCCCAGTGAAGGACTTGAAATAGGAGGCAGGAGAAAAGAAGTGGAATTAATAGCAATAGCGCTTAGACTTATATACCATTTCACAGTGCTTTACCAGCCCTTGCTACCAAGCTTAAAGTTTACCAGGCAGCAGTGCTAACTACCCTATTGTATGCTAGTGAGACCTGGACAGTGTACGGGAGGCACGTTAGACAACTGAACTACTTCCACATGACCTGCCTTCGTAGAATTCTGAGGATCCGGTGGCAGGATAAGACACCAGACACAGATGTCCTCTCCAGAGCAGGCCTATCATCAGTTTACACTCTGTTGATGAAAGCCCAGATGTGCTGGGCAGGCCATGTTGTAAGGATGCCAGATCATCGCATCCCTAAACAGCTCTTCTATGGTGAGCTGTCTCAAGGAAAGCGATCGCACGGGGGACAAAAGAAGCGATACAAAGACACGTTGAAAGCTTCTCTTAAGTCCCTGGATATTAACACCATCTCTTGGGAACTTCTGGCGCATGATCGACCGACATGGCGCACCTTGGTGTACCAGGGTTGCCAGACATATGAACACAGAAGGACAATCTTGGCACAAGAAAAGCGAGCACTCCGCAAATGAGTGAACTAACAGTGTCTACATTTCTTTGTTCAGTATGTGGCAGAACATTCCGTGCTAACATTGGTCTTATTAGCCACCTACGGACACATCGTTGATGGCCCACAACCCACAAGCTGTCAAGGTCTTCATCGAAAATCGATGGACGAACAACACCAGCCCTCTCTAAGCGGTTTACAAAGTCAGCCTGCTGCCCCCAACAAGAGACATAACACAACATGAAGTGGATTCTTGTTCTCTGAACACAGTTTCAGAGTTCCCAGCATCATGAAGGAGATGGTAATCAAAGGAACAGCTGTCCCCAATTTAATTCCTACAATGCATAATGGAACAATGTCCTACCAGAATTAGTGTGAAGGACCTCTATATACTATGAGTGCCAGAGATGTCTAGAATGGAAGGATGAAGAACTCAACCCCATTCTTTTATTCCCTACTGGAGTCCTCAGATGAAGATCTCTCACCTGCAAGTCGACTTGTTCTTTCTTCTCCTCCGCCTGGCTCAGAAGCAAGCTTTCAACCAGGGCCACCGCCTGGGAGCTGGTTTCTGCTCCACACTCCAGCACCCAGCTCTCCATTTCTGGGGACAGACGGGCCAGGAACTGCTCCAGAACAACCAGGTCCATCATCTGGGCTTTAGTATGCTTTTCTGGTCTCAACCATCGCCAACAAAAGTTGTGGAGTCGGCTGCAAAGTCTTTGGGGAGCCTTCTGATGTTGGACTCTCCTGAAGATCCAGGGCTGAACATTTGAGCAGACCATGGTTTCCTCCTCCAGGATATCTTGCCCAGTTCTTGTCCAGCTATGCCCACAGCTGCCAGGCTGAATAACTGGAGGGCCTTTTCCAGTTGCTTCATTTGCTAAAAGTTGTGTCTCCATTCTGTCTCCGTCTTGTAATACAATTCCAAATGGGTCCAAGGAATCTTGTGGATCTTCAAATGCCTTTTCATTCACAAAGACCATTTCCAAACGCTTTTTCATTCATAGGACCGATCCCGTAGCCACCAGGACCACAGATGACCGTTTAGAACTCGCTCCCCAAGAAATAATTTTGTACGCAAACAGGTACAAATGGTTTCCCCTTTGTGTATCTGAGATAGAAAAGAAAATAAATTCCAAGAATGAGAAAGTGCAGAATTTTAACCATTGAACAAGACTCATTCCCGTGGAAATAAATACTTTTCCAAAACTGGTATAGGATTCCAGTGTCCTCGAGCAGATAAGTCCTCTTTTTGTGTGTAGATGTGCGCATTTGTGTGGTACACTATTGTTGGAAGAAAGGTCTTCACTGTGGTTCATCCAAACTGGGAATAAACATGGCAACTGCTTTGGGAAGAAGGTTGTAGTTTATTGGAGAGGAGAGACAGACAGGAAGATGGTTCTGGCAGCAAGAGAAGTGAGGGAAAAAAGGACTTAGCACATGTAGGGAGTAGGTTTTTTATTACGCCCGCCCCCAGCCTTTTGTTTGGAGTTATTTCCTGTTCCTGTTTTGAGGCTATTTCTTGTGTCATGTATTCTGACCTGAGTTTGGGTGTGCCCTTTGGCCTTTGTGAATTAATCCTACCATGTCCTGTCTCAGGTGGGGTAGGCAGGTGTTAGGTCTTTGTCTTCCTAATCTCCTAGCTCCAACATTCCTGATGGTTACATCTGCATTTGTATAGAGGTGGTTTCTACTTGGGGGAAGCAGACTTTAAGAAAAACTGGGCATGCTTTTCTGTCTCTTTAAGATCCTTTGAGAAAATATATTGTTCTGCCCTTTCAATATTTCCTTCTCTGGGGGGGGGGGAGGCTGACTTCCCACACTATTTTTCCTTACAAGGAAAGTTTCCCCTTTTAAAAATGTTGATCTACATTCACCTCCAAGCAGGGTTCACACAACCTGCCAGACCCCAAACAGGTGAACAAACCATGAAACATCAGTTCACATCCAATGACATGGCAGGAAACAACCCTGGCTGGGGATGCCCCCTTTCCCTTCTTCTGGGTGGCCTTTGGAGATCCGTGTCTCCCTCTGACACGCAGGCAGGTTCACACAACCCTGCCTCTTCGCCTGGCTTCTCTCCTCTCCTGCTAGACCGACCCTCGTCTTCCCCCACTCGGGCTCTTCTTCCCCGGATACGGGGCGGGAAGGGACACCCGGATCCTCGCCGCCTTCCTGGGATCCCCGGTTCTGCTGCTGCTGCTGCTACTCTGGAGCTCCGCTTCTCCCCCACACCCGCATGGAGAAGGCAGCTGGGGAACATGGGACCCGGGATTGCACCCGGAGGAGGGCCGTGCACGGGTCTCCCCCTCCTCCGTCTCCTTTTGCACGGGAATATCCCCCTCCCCAAGACACGTGCGAATCTCTTACCCGCGAGACGCTCCCGCAGCCTCTTCGCCTCCCGCGGAGCTCCAGGGGTTAAGGAGAGCGAGTACGGCGTCCCAGAGCGGCAGGCGTTTATGACGCCTCGCCTGCTCTGGAAAGCCAGCTGTGACGGTCGCCCTCCAGTGACCCAATGGGGAAGCTCCTGGCGTTCCCTTCTCTTGGCAGAGCGCGCCCCCTGGAGGGGTCTGTGCAAAGTGCCAGGATTCCGGGAAGGCGTGAAAGAAGAGCGCACCTGAGGGGGAGGGGGGAGGGGGAGGGGGAGGGCAGGGATGATGGGCATGGGAGTAGGAGGCAAGGCCCCTGTCATTGGTTGCCTGTCTGAGAGTTCCCGTTAAAACAGTCGAGTTAGGCCTCTGGGTCAGCCTCTCCAGAAGGGGTTCTCCTTACTTCCTCCTTCCCTAAAAGCAACCTAGAACTAAGGAGAAACTTCCTGGCAGGGAGAACAATTAACCAGTGGAACAACCTGCCTCCAGAAGTGGTGAATGCTCCAACACTGGAAGTTTTTAAGAAGAGACTGGACAGCCATTTGTCCCAAATGGTATAGGGTTTCCTGCCTGAGCCCCTAGCAAGTTGGACTAGATGACCTCCGAGGTCCCTTCCAACTGTATTATTATTATTAATAATAATAATAGTTGGAAGGGACCTTGGAGGTCATCTAGTCCAACCCCCTGCTCAGGCAGAAAACCCTATACCATTTCAGACAAATGGCTGTCCAGTCTCTTCTTAAAAACTTCTGGTGTTGGAGCTTCCAGTGGCAGATTGTTCCACTGGTTAATTGTTCTAACTGTCAGGAAGTTTCTACTTAGTTCCAGGTTGCTTCTCTCTTTGATTAGTTTCCATCCGTTGCTTCTTGTCCTGCCTTCAGAAGCTTTGGAGAATAGCTTGACTCCCTCTTCTTTGGGGCAGCCCCTGAGACATTGGAAGACTGCTATCATGTCCCCCCTCCTCCTTCTCTTTGTTAAACTACACATACTCAATTCCAGCAACCGTTCCTTGTTTCTCACAGAGAGCCAGAGGGGAGGTTTGATTGAAGAGTTTAATTAAAAAGAAATAGAGGGTGCTGTGAATCAGTTTCCCCCCCCTCTCTCTTTTTCTCTCTCCCTCTCTCCCCCTCTCTCTCTCCCTCTCCATCTCCATCTCTTCCTTTATCTATCTTTCTTTTCTCCTCCCTTCCCCTCTCTCCGATCTTCTGCTTATCTGTCAAGCTGGCTTCACGCTGTTCTGCTGTTCTCCGACAAGCTGACATTTGTTAAACTGGACATACCCAATTCAAGCAACCGTTCCTTGTTTCTCACAGAGAGCCGGAGGGGGAGGCTTGATTGAAGAGTTTAATTAAAAAGAAATAGACCGCAGTGTTTCTCAACCTTGACAATTTTAAGGCATGTGGACTTCAACTCCCAGAATTCCACAGCCAGCAGTGCTGGCTGTGGAATTCTGGGAGTTGAAGTCCACATGCCTTAAAATTGTCAAGGTTGAGAAACAATGAAATAGAGGGTGCTGTGCCTCAGTTTCCCCCCCTCTCTCTCCCCCTCTCTCTCCCCCTCTCTCTCCCTCTCTTTCTTTTTCTCCCTCTCTCTCTCCCTCTCTCCCCCCCCCTCTCTCTCCCTCTCCGTCTCTCCTGGTAGATTTGTCCGAGATAAAAACCTAACCTGGTAAAGGGAATTCAGTGCTCGTATCTCTCCTATATGTGACTTATTTGTAAGGCAGCCTTTTTTTTCTCTCTCAAATGAACTTCCAAGTCAGTTTTGATTCCTAGTGAGTATAGAACCTAGAAAGATTCAAGTTCATTCAAGATCACGTGAAGTATTAATACCACTCTACAATGCCTTGGGAAGGCCACACTTGGAATACTGCATCTAGTTTTAGTCACCATGATGTAAAAAAGATGCTGAGACTCTAGAAAGAGTACAGAGAAGAGCAACAAAGATGATTAGGGGACTGGAGGCTAAAACATATAAGGAACGGTTGCTAGAATTGGGTATGTCTAGTTTAACGAAGAGAAGGACAAGGGGGGACATGATAGCAGTATTCCAATATCTCAGGGGCTGCCATAAAGAAGAGGGAAGTCAAGCTATTTTCCAAAGCACCTGAAGGCAGGACAAGAAGCAATGGGTGGAAACTAATCAAGGAGAGAAGCAACCTAGAACTAAGGAGAAACTTCCTGACAGTGAGAACAATTAATCAGTGGAACAGCCTGCCTCCAGAAGCAGTAAATGCTCCAACACTGGAAGTTTTTAAGAAGAGACTGGACAGCCATTTGTCCGAAATGGTGTAGGGTTTCCTGCCTGAGCAGGGGGTTGGACTAGATGACCTCCAAGGTCCCTTCCAACTTTACTACTACTGCTATTATTATTATTATTTAGTTCGTCTTGGCCACACTTTTTGGGAGTGGTTTGCCAGAGCTGATTGAGAGTCCAGCCCAAGGTCACCTACCTGATGTGCCTAAGGCAGAACTCAAACATGTGGTCTCCTGATTTCTAGCTGGTACTTTCAGCCACTACAGAACACTAAATGGAAAGCAAGCCAGTGCGCCATTTTGAATTAAATGCCTTCATCCTGAATCATCAAGAGGGTGGCTATCAAAATCTGAGCTTGTACGGTAAGGTACAAATAATTTTCCTGGACTCGTGTCATATAATATATGTGGGTATATGCATTCTTCTGTATTTATATAACAACAACAATAACAAAATAACAGATTTGGAAGGGACCTTGGAGGTCATCAAGTCCAACCCCCTGCTCAGGCAGGAAACCCTATACTATTTCAGACAAATGGCTGTCCAGTCTCTTCTTAAAAACTTCCAGTGTTGGAGCATTCAATGCTTCTGGAGGCAAGACCGGAAGTTTCTCCTTAGTTCTAGGTTGCTTTTCTCCTTGGTTAGTTTCCATCCATTGCTTCTTGTCCTGCCTTCAGGCGCTTTGGAGAATAGCTTGACTCCCTCTTCTTTGGGGCAGCCCCTGAGATTTTGGAACACAGCTATCATGTCCCCCCTTGTCCTTCTCTTCGTTAAACTAGACATACCCAATTCCAGCAACCGTTCCTTGTTTCTCACAGAGAGCCGGATGGGGAGGCTTGATTGAAGAGTTTAATTAAGAAATAGAGGGTGCTGTGCATCAGTTTCATCCCCCCCCCCTCTCTCCCTCTCTCTCCCTCTCTTTCTTTCTCTCTCTCTCTCTCTCTCTCCTTCTCTCCCCCCCTCTCCCTCTCCGTCTCTCTCTTCCTCTCTCTATGTTTCCTCTCTCCCCCCTCCCCCTCTCTCCGATCTTCTGCTTACCTGGCAAGCTGGCTTCACGCTGTTCTGCTGTTCTCCGACAAGCTGACACACATTCTTATTGGGCTGGCTCTCTCCTGCCCTTGGTCTGTCAGTCCTCTTTCCCCCTCAGTGTGAGTGTGTGTGACAGAGGGAGAGAAAGAGAGAGCTGCTGATTTCAGCTTTCTGCTGCTTCCTGCTTCCTGCAGAGACACAGCAAAGGAGAAGCCCCGCCCAATAAGCTTGTCAGCTTGGAGAACAGCAGTGAGGCCACCCTTTTTTACACACACACACACAGAGAGAGAGAGAGAGAGAGAGAGAGAGAGAGAGAAGGGAAGCGCAAGTGCCTCTCTCTGTCTCTGTCTCTCTGCAAATGGTGGAGGAGGCTGGGAGCCGCAGGGGAAGGCTCAAAGAGCCACATGCGGCTCTGAAGCTGCGGGTTGCAAGCCCGTGGTATAGGGCTTCCTGCCTGAGCAGGGGGTTGGACTAGAACAGGGGTCCCCAACCCCTGGTCTGTGGACTGGCACCGGTTCGCAGCATGCCAACAAGCAGGCTGCACAAACAAGCAAAGCTCCATCCTCAGGACGCAGGCAGTATTCAAAACCACATCCCTTCTGGTCCGCAGAAAAACCTTTCTCCATGGCACCGGTCCCTGGTGCCCGAAAGGTTGGGGACCTCTGGACTAGAATCTGTTATTTTGTTATTCCTGAACTGAAGTCCTGCTGGATTTGGGACTGGGGTGCTTCTTTCCCGCCTTTCCCCACAACTGCAAAGGCGTTCTGCCAGCAGACAAAGAAGGGAAACGTTGCAGGGAGCGAGGGGCAAGTGGCGCTGAGATGCAGCATTTGCGCTGTGTGCCCGATTGGGCCTGTTTCGTCAAAATTGGCAACTTTACACTCTGGGTGTTGAAGTCCACCCCTCTTAATTGGTCCATGTTTGAAAAAGTGTGGAATAGGCTAAGAAGTGGGAAAGCGGCTGTAGGAGTTGCATGAATCAGAAGATCTTGCTAGGCTGTAATGGTTTATTATTAGTCCGATATGTACTGGATGGTGTTGTTGTTAATTTTGGCTTCTGAAGTTCCCGCAGGGGTATGGGTCAGGAGGTTAATGAGGTTACTATAAGTTCAACTGTTGATTTATTTACTTATACAATCTATTTCTATAGCCCTCATCTCAACTGCTCTTTACAACCCGAGACATTTAAAGGATTGCCCTTAAATCTCTCTGTGGCCACCGAAATCATTAGAATAAATAACTAGGAAATAGACATTCAATATTTTAAATGTATTCTGTAGCATTTTGAGTCCTTGATAGAAACTGATCAAGAAGAGTTCTCCAGAATTTTCCCCAGAGACAGAGAATTAAACTTACCTTGTCAGATTCCCCTTTCTTTCCTGTTGGTTCATAAGATTCTCTTCTTTTTCTTTTTGTTTGGACGCTATGTAGTTAAACACTATTGTTTCTGGAGGTTTCTTTGGTTTTCCATTTTAATAGTAGTAGTAATAATAGTAATAGTAATAATAATAATAATAATAATAATAATAATAATAATGCCTGTAAGCAAAAACTGGTGGGATCATAAAATAGAGAAAGTCATAGAAAATGATAAAATTAAACTGCTCTGGGACTTCAGAATTCAAACAGACAAGCACTGCAACATAACACCCCAGACTTAACAATTGTCGATAAGAAAGACAAAAAAGTCTGGATAGTGGATGTGGCAGTGCCTGGAGACAGCAGAATAGACGAGAAAGAA